GAGCCTAGGGGGGAGGGGGGATGGGGATTGGGGAGGGGAGGGGGAGACCTAAAAAATTTTATAAATACCCCCTTTTTTCATAAAATATCACACTCAAAATTTCAATTCTCAAATACTCAATCCATTATCCATCTCTCATTCTCTCAAATCTCAATCTATCATTCTTAATTTCTTAATTCTTATCAATCATTCTTAATTACTTAATTCTTATCTATCTTTTTTAAATATATTATATTTTAATATATAAAATTTCGAAATTATTTGAAAATTTCGAAATTTAATATATCTTTAATATAAAAAAATATATAATTTATATTTTAAATATATTCTCTATTATTTATTGAAATTTTTGAAATTTTAATATATAAAATTTCGAAATTTTTTTAATTTTTCCAAAAGTAATATATTATTTTAATATCAAAAAAATATATATTAAAATGTCGAGGGAGTCCGGTAGACGGTCCGTGGATATGGGCGACGTGAACCGAAAATTGAGTAAAGGCAAAGCTAAAGCCACCTCCGACGGTTCGACCTCACGCGGACGCGGTTCTCGAGGAAGACACTCCGTCTCTTCGTTTCCTACTGTCCCAGATCATTTAATCGGGGACGCTATGACGGAAGAAGAATTCAACCAGATTTATTCTGGTAGAGGAGACGCGAATCTCCCCACTTTTGATAGTCTATTCGAGGATGTTGATGAAGCAGGACTGGATAATCTTGACGGGGACGATGAGCCTACACCGCAAAGCAACGACGTCGACGTGGAGGCAGGTGAGCACGAGACCTCTCGAGGTTCAGACAAAGATAAAAAAAAATAAATCAGATTTATTTGTTTATCATTTTGACAAAGACACAAAAGATGGCATAGTTTATGGAACTTGTAAACATTGCGGGACCATCATAAAAATGGGGGTTTCCGGTGGTTATGGCGGTCCGGAAAAAAACCTAAGGTCGAGGCATCCCGTGGAGTACGCCAAATACGAGGCCAAAAAAAAGGGACGACAAGAAGTGCAAACCCAAATTTTTTAGTTTGCTAACAGAGGTAAGGGCGGCCTTTTTGCTTATAGCGACGAGCAAAATAAGCAAAAAATGGCCAAAATGATTTGTGAAGAAAATTTTCCATACATGTTTTCTGAAAAACTTGGTTTTATTGATTATTGTCAACAGGCATTAAACCCTCAAGCACGAGGTTTTTCAAGAAAAACAATTAAACGAGAAATTATTCGCCAGTATAAAATGGAAAAAATTAATTTGGCAAATTTTTTTCTCAATTTTAATTCTCGTGTTGCTATTTGTTCTGATATTTGGGGTGGAACTTATCATAATTTGTCTTATATGGGTGTTACTTGTCATTGGATAGATAGTGATTGGATTATGCATAAACGTGTTCTTGCATTTCGTGATTTCAATGATCAGCATACTGCTGAAAATATTTTTCTATTGCTTCAGAGTATTCTGCGGGAATATAACTTATATGAAAAAGTTTTTTCATTTGGTTTTGATAATGCTACTAATAATACTACTGCTATTCCTAGACTTAGAGAAATTTGCCCACCGTCTACGACTATGGGTAGATTTCTGCATCAACGGTGTGCCTGTCATGTTTTAAATTTATGTGTTCAACAGGGACTACAAGCTATGGGCGGAGTTTTGACAAATATTAAAGAAGGAATTAAAAAAATTTGGGGGGCTCGTCTTATTTCGAGATCCTGGAAAATGTTCTGTAAGTCTAAGGGTAAAAAAAAATAAGTTTTGCCAGAGATATCAACATTAGATGGAATAGTACTTACAAATTGATTGCACAGATCCTAAGATATAAAGAGGAACTTGCTGAATTTTTTAGGGATGAACTTCGTATAATCATTAATCCTTTTGAATTTGTTATTGTTGAAAAATTGAATGCCGTATTAGAAGTTTTTAATAACGCAACTCTTACTTTTTCCCATGTTTACCAACCAACTACAAATACATTTTTTAAAGAGTGCATTACAATCGCAACATGTTTTCGTGAAAGTATGGCTGATCCAGATTTGTACCCTTATGTCTCTCCTATGAGAGATAAATGGTGTACTTATTATTTGTACATTCCTGATATTTATAAAATAGGTATTATTTGTGATCCACGATTTAAGATTGAAAATTTTAAAATTCTAATTGAGTATTACTACAGTTGTTTTTTAGATAAAAATAGTTATTACTACAGCTATTTAGTAGAATGGAAAAATGAAAGAGATAATGCTATAACTCTTTTTGAGGATTTGTTTAAGGAATATCAAGGGTTATACGGTACTGTACAAGAAGAAACAGCACCACCTCCGCCCCCGAAATCAAAAAACGGTTTTGCCGGCATAGTCGGTGGTCTTCTTGCAAAGAAAGGGAAGCGTGCCCAGTCTTCGAGGAGTTCAAGTGGTACAACAGTAAGCTCGCACCACGAACTTTCTATGTACCAGGGTGTGCCATGCGATTACGATGACGATGATGTCGATTTTGACGTGCACAGATGGTGGAAGCGGAACGAACACATGTTCCCATTTCTCGGCATGCTAGCAAGACAAGTGTTGTCCGTCCCAGTATCAACCGTAGCAGTTGGACGAGAATTCAGTGCTGGCGGGAACATTCTAACCGACTACCGAAGTTGTCTTAACGCTGAATCTCTTGAAACACTGGTTTGCAACCAAGATTGGCTCTTGGCAAGACGTCGGGCTCAAGAGTCATCGTACCAACTCGAATCGGAGCATTACATGAATGCAACCACAGATGGAATTCCGAGTTCTGAAGAATAAGTTATAATTTTTTTTTATGTTAATGTAAATATGTAATTAATTTTTTTAGGTGAGCGATATATAAGCTCCTTCGAGGGTTTCTTTACGGTTCTTTACCTCGTCGCTTTTTTTGAACCGTCAGGATATTAAATGTGGTTGTTCTTCAGTTAGTGTATTACTCGTTTTCAATATTTAAATAACAACTACATTTTTAGATTTTTTATTTCAATCTTTCCTTAAACAATTGCAAATTTATAATTTTATACTTTAAAAATTTAAAAAAAAAATAGGGGGGGGGGGGGCCGAACCCGGCCGGTCCGGTACCGGAACCGCCGGTCCGGGAACCGGAACCGGTACCGGTCGGCACGGTGACGGTTCCGGTTACATGGGGTGGCGGTACCGAAACCGTCCCGGAACCGTACCGTGTCCACCCCTATCTGAATGGTTCATTTACGTAGTTTTAATTATAGAACATCATTGCATCTCTTATTGTAAATCCAATGCCTCAAAATTTAATCTATTTATCATACACGCTTCATCTCATACGATTAGACATGCTTGTTGGATTTGTTTTGCTTTCGAGCTCCCTTGTTTGATGGCACATGTTAAGAACTCAATTAGTTCGAGAGGAATTGAGAATCTTGAGTGTGCTGTCCTTCCCCTAGGTAAAAGCAATGCTGCAATCACACTTGATACGACATTTAAGACAACCCTACTATTTGACCTCAGAGAAGCATACAGTGATTTCCAAGGAAATGTTTTTCTAGTTCCACCGAAACCATACACAAAAGAATCAAGTAGTATTTGAGTACATTGTTTATAATGTCATGTACACATAATTAGTTAATACATAAATATATGTGTCGTATGATTACCTTCATCGAAAATAATAACACATGTTATTGAAGATATTCTATTTTCTTCTATCTCTTATACACTTGAAAGCATGATGAAGTGGGTGTAGAATTATTCTCAGATTGATGCACAGTATAGATAAAAAAAATTTAGGAAAAATGTAATGGAAGTGTTAAATTTTAAATTCGAAATAAAAAATTACCATTTGTCACATCACAGAGTACACTCTTTCTCAAATGAGTTAAATTATGTGAGGTTATAGCCGATTCCGATGTCTCTCCATCAGTATATGTAATTTTTATCATAAACAAAATGGTGTATTAATGTATATTTTATAGAGAAATACAACTTTTATTCAAATTTTGTTTACACATGAGTTATAAATTTATTCATTAATTTTTATACATGACAGCTTGTTGAAAATAAAATCTTTGGTCGAAAATTCTTTTTTATGTGTATTAAAATGTAAAAATAAAATCCACTAAAAATTTCACTGCACAAAAAATTAAAAAATGAAGATTAAAAGTTGGTCCCTAAACGATATTGATAATAATGATAATAATAATAAAAATTAAAATAATAATAATATGAATAATAATAGCAATACTAATTATAAGGTTATTATTATTATTCTTTATATAAACTAATATTAAAAGCATTAGTTATGAATTCCATAAAAATAAAAAATATATAAAAAGAAAGGAGCTTTTAATGCCATATTTGTTTAATTGAACATTAATTATTTTTCATATATAGTAAAAAACATTCTAATTCTAATAAAAATTGTGCTTCATTTTAAAACTAGGCAGAAGAAACCAACTTTGCTGATGATAGTTTCCCTGTTTCGACAGCTGAGTGGAGGAGGCTGTTGTCTTCTCCAATTCTAAACGCAAGTCCAATCGACTAAACTGGTTCCCGTTGGGTAATACTTTTTTGTCTAACTTTATCTGAATTGAAATCCGATAGAACCGTTTGGATCAGACAGTTAAACTCTACATAATGATATAATCTTTATTATTTATTGACAAACTTTATAAATCACATATTTTTCGGTCCTTCTCAGTAATTAATTAATTATCAATTAATTAATTCTGATAGGCCTATTTTCGGGGCGTTACTAGAGAGAAAGTGGTCACATTTTTGTACATTTTTTATACGACTCAAAGTTTAGTACCCCCTTTGTCTGTAATTATTTTCTTTTTTCTTTTTTTAATGAAAAAATAATGTGGTCCTTATTTTTTCTCCTTTACATAAATTACAATCATACATATTATAAGATTAAAAATTGTGTCAAGGAGTGGTACATTTTCTTTGGCCTTAAGTTTTAAGTTATGTTGTTACTGTTTTAATTGCTAAAATTCTGAATTAGTTTCCTAATTTGTACTCCCTCCGTCTCATTTTACGATTTTTGTTGCTTATGATGTTTGATTGAAATCATCTTCAAACTAATTTATATGAAAAATATGGTAGAACTAAAAAATAAAATTTAAAATTACATAAAAAAACATTGTACAAAAAAAGAGGTATCATGAGTATATTATTTTATCAAATGAGTAATAAAAAGAGTATAGAAAGTAATTAAATTTTGATCATATGAATAGTAATATGTAATTTAAATTGGACCGGGGTGAAAGGCGTAGTAGTTATGTATCACTAAGGCTCTATTCTGTTCAACTTATTTTTTCAGATATGATGTGATTTTTTGTAGTTCTGATCTGATTTGATTTGATCTGATCTAACTGGATCTCATTTGATCTGATTGGATCTGATCTGATCTGGTCTAATCTGATCTGATTAATTATGATTTAATTTAAAATTCAAATCAATAATTTGATTTGACTTTATAATAACGTTTGAAAATTGTAATGATAATTCATATTATAATATAATCAATATTTTTTATTTTATAATTTTTTAAATAAAATAAAATTAGTTAATTCATATATTAGAATAATCATTATTATTATAATGTAATAATATTTTTATTTTATGATTATTTTTGTGTGAAATAAGAATATTGATTTAATATTTTAATAATTAGTTCATATATACATTAGAATAAATATTTAATTTATAAATACATTAAAAAGTAATTAAATGTAGATAATTAATTTAGAGAAGAGATAGTATTTTTATTAAAATATCTCATTCTTATAAAAGATCAAAACTTTAGAAACTTAAATTACAGGTAGCAATAAAAATGTATTTTAAAAGTAGAATTAGATTGAGATTATCAATATATTTTAAAAATAATATTCCAACGTCTAATAATTAAGGATTACTTTCTCAGTACTCTATTTAACTTGTTTCTAAAGTTTATTCTTTTTCATTTTTAAGAATAATAATAACAATAACAACAGCAATAACAACAACAACAACAACAACAACAACAATAATAATAATAATAATAATAATAACAATAATAATAATAATTCTTGATGGGATCTTATTTGATCTGATCTGGTCTGTCCTGATTGGATCTGGTCTGATATGATCTAATCTGATTAGATTTGATCTGATCTGATTTGATCTGATCTAAGTGTTATCTAATCTGATCTGATCTGATTTTAATAAAAATTAAAAAAATAAGAAAAAATAAGTGGAACGAAACGAGGCCTAATAAGGCCCTTTTTGCCTCTAAACTAAAAAGATTATTGGCAAAGCAATTAAATTGTATGTATATTTAACGTTAATTGTTATAGTTTAAATTTTAGATATATTTTTCCATAAGTTATTATTGGTTTATACTTACTTTTTGTTTTATATCTGAAGTCTAATAATGGATGAATGAGTTGTTATATTGCAGAGTTTGGTCGAAAAAACTTACACCTTTAAAAGACTAAATTGATTTTGTAATTGCCCACTCCAAATGTAGGTTATCAAGAAATAATGAAATTTAAATCATGCTTCTTATTAGTGTGAAATGAAGTGATAAAGTTTTCAAAAAGTATTTTTAATGTTCCTTAAATATTAAAATATGGAAAATACTGATCCATAAAGAGGGACACTAAACTTAAAGAAAGATCTTTGGGAATTTCTTCCATGCCTTCGCTAATCAAGGCGCATGGATGCCCCTCTAGTGAATTCTTGACATGTGGACTTTTTAATCATATAAATAAATGAAACACTCCACATCATTTTAACTTTTAAAAATTATATAATGACCCCATTTCTTTTTCCCCTTTACTTATCTAAGGGTCTTTTCTTTTGAATGAAAATTTATTTCATACCTTTTCAATTCTTTTCTGTTTTTTAAACCACTTCAAGTTTATTCCAATAATAACTTAAAAAATTTATTTATTTTTATTTTAAATAATATTTCTATTACATTCATTATAATTATAATTATTACTATTCCTACAATTGTCATTATCGTCATCAGCATTGTAATTAAAATACAATAAAGAACTGAAGGTATAACACAATTTTCATATAAAAAATATTTCTTTTGTCACAAAAATATATGGAGTATTAGTTATCATTATAGAGTCAACAAAAAATATTAAAATGTTAAATGATGTAATTTATTAAAAAGGACATTCCTCTTTGTAATTTTGTAATAATCCATAATTTCGTTTATTTGTTGATTGAGATAATGTCAGATTATTTATGCCAATTTTTGGTTTAAATAAGATTAATGAAAAAATATTAGTACATGGATTATTGGAATTGAA